CAACACCACACACACTACACACCTCATGCAACACCACACACACTACACACCTCATGCAACACCACACACACTACACACCTCACGCAACACCACACACACTACACACCTCATGCAACACCACACACACTACACACCTCACGCAACACCACACACACTACACACCTCACGCAACACCGCACAGTACACACGTCACACAACACAACACTCCTGGTAGATCATTAAAGGGGCACCCTGCCTGCTGCCATGCTCACTTAGCAGCCAATTTGCGCCATTATGTTGTCTTATTGACAGTAGTTCCATTAATCATGTAGCAGTTAATAGATAACTGGATGTTAGTCACTCTGTACACTCTTCCCCGGGTAAGTAGGTAGCTGCCTGTGTAATAATCCGTCGTGGGTAGTGTATCCAAGGGAAGGATATCAACTGAAGTTATCCTGGGTTAAATATCCATAAGGATGTCTTCTTGAAGTCACTTTATGGTGTGAGAGTGACTAGTGGTTTATCATTTGTCATGACCTGGTTCCTTGATCCCCTTGTTCCCACCTCCCTGACACGGCAGAAAGATCATGTGTTGAGGCTCTAAGGCACCTAAACAGCCACTTCACGCGCAGAAAGTGAAGAGCTGGCCGAGTCTCCTTGGACGGTGTGAATGACCCGAGATCCTTAATTTCTCTGACCTAAGACGAAGGTTGAGTTCTGAAGAATCACACAGGTGCAGAGCTCAAGCTTTGATTACAGGAGTGTTTCGTGCGGTTCTCCGTAATGCTCTACACGGAGCGATACGTTGTCGCAAAATAAAAGTTAAATTCTGCACCAGTGTTGTCTCGTCACTGTCGGCAGCACCGTTTAGTTTCCCTTGAAAATAAAAGCAATTGCTTGGCGCAACAACAAAACACTACCAGGACAATTAATGTCGAAAAAGGGCACGAATGAGATTAGCTTCAAGACAAACACTGAGGTAAATGGCAATGCCCCGAGGATTATGGAGGGAAAAAAATCCTGCCCCCACAAGCAACCTAGATTTGGATCCTGTTCCTAGTCTGGGCCTGATCAGGCCATTCAGGTCACTCCAAGACCCTTTGCACCTGTTGTCAGTTTAAACGCTCACTATGAGTCAGAACCTGATAGTAATGGAGGAGGAGAAGGAGGATCAGGGGGAAGGAGGTTGAGGAGAGAAGGCACAAGATGGTGGTTTAACGAGCAGGAAGAAGAGGAGTAGCAGCAGAAGCAGGAGCTGCATCAGGAGTAGCAGCAGGAACAGCAGCAGTAGCAGGACTATCAGCAATAAAAGTAACAGTAGCAACAGTACAAGCAAAAGAAGCAGCAAAAGAAGCAACAATAGAAGCTACAATATCAGCAGTAGAAGCGCAGTAGCAACAGTAGAAGCAACAGTAGCAACAGTAGAAGCAACAGTAGCAGAAGCAGACGAAGAAGCAGCAGCCACAGGACACATCTGAGTCCTGCATTGCGGACAGTCTAAGAAAAAGGACGCTGGAAGAGAAGTAATGAAGAGAATCATGTAATCTAGTGAATGTGGCAAGTGGAGCAGCTAATGAAGCAAGATTCCTGAGGAACCAGACAAGTCGGAGGAATGGAGAGGTTGTTAACAGATGTTTGATGAGCTGATAGTCCTACTTGCGTGGCCGGACAGATGACCGACGATCACTTAGCAGACAGACGTTTGACCGAAGGGCAACTGGCCATACGGATATTGCGCCGACAGCCATTTGGCCGAATGGACAATAGACCGAACGGATAATTAGGTTAGGTTAGGTGACGAATGCCAGTTCTTCCATATGTCCATTAGCCAAATGTCCGGAAGCCCCTTGTTGACAGTCTGTGATTGACAGTCTTAACTGACAGTCTGTAATAACAGAGACTAACATACTATCTCAATGAAAATAGGATTTTGTATAGAAACTTACACCCATTTCACTCATTTTGAGGAGGAAATGATGGAGTCTCGTGACTATCTTCATAATAGAATAAAGAAAAAAATAAGCAGAAAACACCAAGGACACCTGAAGATTATGACTCGATGATTAAGGAATCTCGAATTTCTCACAGATCCTTCGTAGCCATCCTTTCTGAAGCCAGGATTGTATCCACTGAACGTGAGCATTCTGATTAGTTTACAATGCTTGACAACTATAGACAGAACAAGGGTTATTAATTCATTTGTTTAGTGCACCAAGTACACTTAAGTTCTTAACTAAAATGTTGTAGAATAGTTAAAATACTCAGAGATATACAACCAGCCTCCGTATAATTATTTCGTTGGTTAGCGATTTTTCCAGGTGAATACAGCATCCTTCATCATCTTCAGGTGTATACAGCATCATACATCATTTTCAGGTGTATACATCATCCTACATCATTTTCAGGTGTATACAGCATCCTACATCACCTCCAGGTGTATACAGCATCGTACATCATTTCCAGGTGTATATAGCATCCTTCATCATCTCCAGGTGAATACAGCATCCTACATCTCCAGGTG